ATATATATATATATACATATATATATATAGTTTGTTCTGACGCCTTACCTTGATGGCCACAGGCACCTCCTCGTCTTTGAGTTTGTAGATGCCCTTGTATATATTCCCAAATTTGCCGCTTCCGACCATATCATACTTGAACAGGCATCTGACGTCCACGCTCTTGATACTGTGGGTGGGGTGGGGTTTTAGTCGTGGAAGCAAATGTGTCTAGTGCGTGAGGAGAATTGAATCGTTGGTTATGCATGGTTGCTGATGATCTTAAGCTTGGCTTTTGAAGTACCAGAGACTGGAAGAGAAAAGAATCACATAACAACGAATAATGCGTAATACGCGAGTGTTTTCTTGTCGTATTGAGCACGATTTACTTTACCACACCAGGGCTTTCGCATGAATAACAGGTCATGACAAATAGATATTGAAAACAACCTCAGGACCGTAGTGTATGCTAGTGCAGATCGTCAACCCAATCTCCACCTAAGCTCAAAGCGCCCCGAGACGCCAAAGATCAACACAACAACACAAAACCATTCCTGAAACAGGCCGACTCAAAGCCATTCCTGAAACAGGCCGACACAATGCCATTCCTGAAACAGGCCAACACAAAGCCATTCTTGAAACAGGCCGACACAAAGCCATTCCTGAAACAGGCCGACACAAAGCCATTCCTGAAACAGTCTGACACAAAGCCATGCCGGAAACAGGCCGACACAATGCCATTCCTGAAACAGGCCAACACAAAGCCATTCTTGAAACAGGCCGACACAAAGCCATTCCTGAAACAGGCCGACACAAAGCCATTCCTGAAACAGTCTGACACAAAGCCATGCCGGAAACAGGCCGACACAATGCCATTCCTGAAACAAGCCAACACAAAGTCATTCCTGAAACAGGCCGACACAAAGCCATTCCTGAAACAGGCCGACACAAAGCCATTCCTGAAACAGTCCGACACAAAGCCATTCCTGAAACAGGCCGACAAGATATACACACGGGTACACCTTGGCACATGCATCGTTTTCATCCACGCCATCCCAATCAATGTATTAATCGCCCACCACTCAGGCAATGCACGATCTTTTGTTACAATTAATCTACGAGCTATTGTTAGGATAGTGATAAACATTATCTAATTAACCAACGTGCTATTGTTAGGTTAGTGATAAACACTGGATATGAGTTATAGGCGAGGACTGACTTGTCCCTCCCCGAGCCATCATCCGCCACGCCGATGATACGAACTCGAGTGTGTGAGTGTTTGCAAACCAAACCACCCCGCAAGTACACGTACAACCTTCGCACACAGACAGGTGCCAATACGACCCACTCACACAGACAGGTGCCAATACAGCCGGCTCACAACGATATACCTCTTAGCGCGGATCTGCCGCAGAATGTTGCTCTTGACCACGTATTTGTCGAACGAATCCTGGGCCACTGGCGGGGGTGAAGTGTCACCCAGCCACCGTCGATACGCTTTGCGTGTAACGCGTTTCTTGTAGTACCACACAGCGCCGACTACACAGCAGCAGCACAGCAGCAGGCCGAGGAAGGCCAAGGCCAAAGAGACAATCAACACTGTGAAAGGAGGGGGGGGGTAGAGAAGAGAAGAGAAGTGAGAAGGAGGATGGATCGGCATGGGGAGACGGGACGGGACGGTGCACACATACACGTACACGTACACATAGACATAGGCATAGTCACATACCACAACACATATACACGTACATATAGACTCATACGTACACATGCACACATGCATACAAGCACACGGCGTTTGTGGGCGTTGTAGTTATTGTCTAGTGGTACATAGAGGGGGCCTACGCAGGCTATCATTGACTAGCAAAACATACAGTTGAAGAAAGAACATATAATCAGGGGTGTCTCTGAGAGGCAATTCTTTTCGTCGTACACACACGGCAGGACAAGACAGGACAGGACAGGGTAGGGTAGGGCAGACAAGCACGCAGGAACAGAGTACTGGCTGTCGTAGCGCAGTCCGACACTCACGTGCTGTCAAGTACCCAAATGACGCTGCCATCACCTGTGTATGATTAATAAACACAGACTCAACTGGTTCCCTATGGCTACCCACTGGGCCGGGCAACGCACGCTACCGCCGGTGCACCCACCTCCACTGTACTCTCGCTTGAGATTCAGGTGCGATACAAGAACACTTAAGTCTGGTGGTGCCGGTACATAGACAAACCATTGTCCCAACAAAAAAACAAAAAAAGATCCAAATACATACGGGTAGGTACGGACCCCTCCGAATCGGCATCGGACAGATCCCGTCCAAGCGGCGCTTCCAGAGAGTAGACGACTCCTATAGCGGTGGTGGCTTCTCGAGGAACAACCACGTCTTCCTCGATACGCGACTCCGTACCAATCACCACAAACGGTTCCGTTTTGGCCCTGTCCAGAATGGTGTTGTTTCGGCCAAATTTGGACCCTGACGACAGTGTGTGGTGGTGGCCAATTATGGAGTATGGTAGCAGGCTTTCGAAATGGTTGGGCTATTGCAATATATATATATACATATATATATATTTATATATATATATATATATATATATATATATATATATATATATATATTATTAGTAGACGACTACGTACGTAGTAGTATA